AGGCCGCCGCGCGCTCGCGCCACGCCGGCCTCGCTGGCGAGCCGAAGGCTGCCGTTGCTTTGTCTTCTCGCCCGGGGGTTTCCCCCGTGAGGAGCGAGCGGCGCTTTCCTCTCAGGAGGGGCCGCGGGAGGGGACCCCGAGGCGGCGCCGTCTCGCGGGGTCCGGGGTCGAGCGCCAGTTCGCGCGGGTCCCACACTCGCGCCCACCCGTCGCCTCGGGGTCCGGGGCAGCGGGCGGGGGCCTCCTGGGTCCGTGTTGTGCTTGACCTCTCTGAGAGGGTCCTCGGGCGACGAACCGCCGCCGGAGTCCCGGGGACCGTCGACCCATTTAAGGTCCATCCCCTTCGAGGCGGCCCCGCCCACCTCGCAGTCCTGTCTTGGGACTGTCCCACCCGAATGTGCGCGCCGGGGCACAGCTCACTCAAAAACGGCGTTTTCGATCGAAATTGCCACAGACCAGTGCGGCAGACACGGGCTGGATGGGCGCCCTCCTCTGGCAAATGGCGGGGGAGACCCCAGAGCCGCCCGCGGTGAGGTCCCCGAGGGCAGAGCGCCTCACCGGCCAGTTCAGCCTGCGCGATCTGTGCACCTGGAGGGGGAACCCCATGCGGCCAGCTGCGTGGTGTTTTTGGTACGTTGGTGCTACAGCCTTAATGTCACCAAGACTAGTTTCCTTCTTGTGAGCGGTAGAAGATGCCCAAATAAAGGGAACGGACTGACATGGCTCAGCTTTGAGTTGGGGATGGATGCCCGCCAGGTCAGGATGCAGCAGCGAGGCATGTTGAGTCGCCTATTTTTGCGTTGACTGCCCCATTCACAGCTGTCAGCCAGCCAGTGGCAGCCACCAGAGGAACCCGAATGAGGGAATGGATGCACTTATACAAATCCATTCCAACCCCTGAAAAATGGTCGCAGTCCATGCTCCCCTGCCAGAGCAGCAGTTTGGTCAAAGGTATAGGTTTTAAAGCACCCCAGTTACTCGGGCATATTTCTCCTTTATGGATCCTCCCTTCACCGTTACAGAAAGACCCAAAGAAGACAGTCCCTGAGTGCCTATTCCCAATAAACTACTGTCTTTCTCGAACCACGGTATGTGATGATTTTGCTGGCAAAGAATCACGAGTAAGACCAAGTACAAAATGTAGTTGCTTCTCTGAGGCTTGACCACTAGCCTGGCGGCCTTTACTGGGGAAATGAACCAACAACTCATAAAGGGAAGTCAAGGATTTTAAGCTGAGTCTAAAACCATACCGACTATACTCAGACATAACTATTCATATAGAAGGCAGAGTGGACCTAGATTTACATGAGCTTACTAGTTAAGGGCCCTGGAAATAGACACCTATAATCTGAGTCTCTGCTTCCTCAATTCTAGAATGAGGATAATACTACCTTACAGAATTGTTGTTAGCATGACTAATTATGTAAAGTTCCTGTTCAATAAAGGGGCATTTCAAAAGTTAAGCAACAGAAATGTTTCCCATTTTCATCACAAAGGAAATTTTGTTTTTTTCTCCCTGAATCCAAAATGTTTTAAGATTTTACTTACAAAACTGATCACATATAATAGATAATCATTCATTTTTCCCACTTTAAATAATCAATTGTTGGAGATTCTGATCAGCACAGATTAACCAGTGTTACCACTTCTGAGTTGATAAAACCCAAAGCAGATCAAACAAAAGTTTACATTTCATTTCTCCAGTGTGTGTTTTGTGTGTAAATATTTTGTTAGGCTATTTGAAATATTGAAAATAGAGTAAGAATCCCTATTTCTGCTACTCCAGCCCCCTAGAGATCCCAGGCCCCCACTCAAATGATCACAGTTGTGCTCAAGTTCAGTGTCAGAATGTACAATCATTCACATTGGTAAAGGGAAGAAGGAAGCACCCAGGCCCAGCCGAGAGAGACGCAGCAGCCCCTAAAAGAGACATGGCCTGGCCTGTTTTTATCCAATACTATATCCCTCCCCCTCTGGAAAGAAAGAGAAACTATCAAGTCCGCAAGACCTTGCATACTGGAGGTCAAAAGAAGAAATGAAAAGGAAGTTTAAATTCTCTCGTGCATTATTCATACATGCAGTTAATCCTTACTATTTCTGAAGGCTACTTTGGGATACTAGGTTGTGGAATATTTATTTATTTTGGGGGTACAAAAATGCATATTTATATAGAATGGAAAAAAATTTCAAATACAAATTTCTGAAAGTTGACAAATTCCACAAACCTCACCAAATCCAGAAAATTCACATATTTTTATTAAATACCTACATAATAGGTATTTCTATTAATTAACTTCCTAAAGTACATCTATAATACTTTTCCTCCATGTGTTTTGGCTACATACTCTTGATCACCTCTTTGGAATGATTTTTTTAAAGAGCTTTATTGAGATATATTTCATATACCACACAACTCACCCATTTAAAGTATATGATTCAATGGTTTTTAGTATATTCACAGAGTTGTGCAATCATCACCACAGTCAATTTTAGAAAATTTTTATCACTCCAAAAATAAACCCTATACTATTAGCAGTCAGTCTTCTTGGAGAGAATACAACCCCCTCAGCCCCTGGTAACCACTAATCTACTTTCTGTCTCTATGGATTTGCCTATTCTGGACATTTCATATAAATGGAATCATACAATATGTGGTCTTTTTGTGACTGATTCCTTTCACTTAGCATAATGTTTTCAGTGCTCATCCATGTTGCAGCATGTATCAGAACTTCATTCCTTTTTATTGCCAAATAATATTCCACCATATGGTTAGGCCACATTTTATTTATCCATTCATCAATTGATGGACATTTAGCTTGTTTCCACTTTTGGCTTTTATGAATAGTGCTGCTATAAACATTTGTGTACAAGTTTTTATGTGGATGTTATATTTTCATTTCTCGTGGGTATATACTTAGAGTAGAATTTATGCGTCATATGTAACTCTATTGAACTTCCCTGCTGAACTGTGTTCCATAGTGGCTACACCATTCCATCAGCAACGTATGAAGGTTCAAATTTCTCCACATCCTAACCAACATTTGTTATTGTCTGTATTTTTTATTATAGCCATTCTAATGGGTGTGAAGCCAGCCCTGATGATCTAGTGGTTAAGATTCAGTGTTCTCAGCACCAGGGCCCAGGTTCGTTTCCCAGTCAGGGAGCCACACCACCTGTCTGTCGGTTGTCATACTGTGGTGGTTGCATGTTGCTGTGATGCTGAAAGCAATGCCATGGTTGTTTCAAATACCAGCAGGGTCACCCATGAAAACCCTATGAATAGCAGCAGAGCATTATCTGATATAGTGCTGGAAGATGAGAGGATGGTGCAAAAAGACCAGGCAGGGTTCTAGTCTGCTGTACAGAGAGTCACTAGGAGTCACAATCGACTTGATGGCACTAGCAACGGTGAGTGTGAAATGGTAGAATGATTCTGTAGCATCATTTTCTATGGGTAGAATAGAAAGGTAGTCCAGTCTTTTCTCTAGCATGGTTGATCAGAGGATTTTTATTATTATTATTGACATCTTAGAAAATTTCCTGCCTCACGTTCATTATTGAAAATAACATGAACAATTTTAGTGTGTTGTCAAATTTGGGAAGACTTCTCAAGTTTCTTTCGTATGTGAACGGTAGAATCGCAGAACATTTTAGGTTTTTTTATGCAATGATTAATATTAAATGCTCCTCAAATTTAAGGTCATAAACTCATTTTTATTAATATTGTGAATTTTGTCATTTCATAGATGTCAGTTATTTCGTGTCAAAAAAACAGAAAATATTTTTCCATTGTTCTATGGTTCATACTTCTTTATTATTTAAATTATCAAACAATCCAAGAGTCTTAGAATATGCACTTTTATAAAAAAGAAAGTTTTTATTTTAAATATACAAACAACTCTAACCTCTACAATATTTTCAATTAGAAAGCCTCTTATGTGTGCTTCAGTGCATAGAGAGGATGCTGTATAAGTCGTATACCAACTGCATACAAACAATTGATATATTAGAATAGAGAACATTAAGTCTTATTTAGTGTCATAGTCCTAGCCTCTAGCACTGGGCCTGGGCCATAGGAGGGGCTTGATAACTAATTGTTGGATTGAAATTTGCCATTA